ATTACCAAGGTTGAAAGGTATCATTCAATGCATGTCAGAGAAAATGCTCTGGTGATGAACAGAACTTTGTGGACTTTTGGACTTTGTGTGATCAAGAATAAAAATATATAAATTAAGAAACTACTACAGCCAATAAAGTCTTGTTTTCAGACTAATCAAAAGAGCTCAAAAATATGTCCTGTAGGATTACAGAATAGAATGATACTTACCCCCTCTTTGTATGGTTATTGCAGCAGGGACACCTTTGGAACATTTTTTCAAAACGTTTACAACTTCGCTGTGACTCATATTACGAACATTATAATGATTAATCTCAATCAGTACATCTTCTTCTGCCAAATTTTTACATCGTGGTTCATCAAGAATTTGCTTGACCTGGAGTGAAATAAGTCCCATTTAATTGTGAGACATACAGTGTACATGTATTGATAGAGTATCTCAAGACATTGTTTATTATAATGGTACTCTAATTAGTGACATTATTGAATCCAACAAATGTACATGTATGGTTGTTGACCTTTGACACTTCTGCCAAGATACATAAATATAATGCTTTACTTAAAAAAATTATAGGAGTAATATATGCCTAAATATGTGTTGTACATCAAACAAGTTCTTGTCAATGACATGGTACTTGTTTGTATTTAGTTGAATTAACATTAGACCAAAATCTGTCAAGACATGACCGAGAAATGAAAGAACACATAAAAATCAAAGAAAGCTTAGAAAGAACTCCTGTGTGCTGAGAGTATTGAAGACACATTAAAAATTAATTTAAAATTACTTCTACTTGAAATATTGATGGAATAGCTGAAAACTAATTATGTAAATCAGGTAACTGATATGAACAGATTTGAGTGTAAAACTAATAAGGCCTGCATAATGTAATATCTATGTACCAAGTTTCATTGAAATGTGATTAGAACAAAAAAAACTATGAATGATTATTAGAGAATTAATATGAACAAACTTCAACCCAAAATTAATCAGGCAAGAGCATTTATGTACCAAATTTTATTCAAATGTGATGATCAGTAATTGAGATATCAGTGTTAATTAATTAATTATTTTAATTAGGTGATTAATAAGCATAACTATTTACCAAAAACTAATTAGATCTCTGCATAGTCCTAGGTTCATTGAAATGTAGTGATGAACACTCTACCTTTTAACATCTTTTATTTTTAATTTTATCTTGTAGTCTAGCTACTGCATTTTTTTCTTATGATTTGTATTTTATTTACCATACTGCGCCCTCTGATGGCATAGTAGTTATTATTATTATTATTATAAAATCCAATTAGTGGTTCTTTATATATCAGCGGAACATTCATGAAAAAAATTAACTAATTATGCAAATTAGGTAATTAATATCCACAATTATTTACCCTAAAACTAATCAGGTCTCTGCATAGTCCTAGAGGATCTATGTAGCAAGTCTCATTGAAATATGATGATCAGTACTTGTCAATGAGTTATCAGGTGAAAAGCTGAAAATTAACTAATTATGCTAATAAGGTGATTAATATGCACAAATATTTACTCCAACACTAATCAGGTTTCTGCACAGTCCTTAAGTAACTATGTACCAAGTTTTATTGAAATGTGACGATTACTACTTAAAGTATCAAAAGCTGAAAATTAATTAATTATGCAAATTAGGTAATTAATATGTACTGATATTACCCTAAAAACTATCAGGTCTGTGCAGTGTCCTATGATATATATGTACCAAGTTTTATTGAAATGTAATGATTAGTACTTGAGATATCAGTGGAAAAGCCAAAAATTGATAAAGCATTATGTAAATTAGGTAATTAATATTGCACAGATTTTTACCCAAAACTAATCAAATCTGCGCATTAGTTCAGAGCATCTATGTGCCAAGTTTCATCAAAATCAAATGAGTGGTTCTTTAGATATCAGTGGAACAATCATAGAACAGCTAAAAATCAGCTAATTATCATGCAAATTAGGTAATTAATATGCATGGATTTTTACCAAAACCTAGTCAAATCTGCGCATTGGTCCAGAGCATCTATGCACCAAGTTTCATCAAAAATCAATGTATGGTTCTTTAGATATCAGTGGAACAGACACACACACACACACACACACAGACACACACACACACAGACAGACACACACACTAACTGCAAAGACTCCCTTTTTGTGCTTCGCACATGAGAGTCAACAAAACTAACATGGCAAATTAATTATGTTTGTTGTTTATTCATGCTACGCAAGTTTGACTAACATCAACCAGGCATGCCTGAGAAACGGTTGATGGCAAGTTAAATTCATCAAAATTCAAATCAAGACAACATGCAACCAGTGACAAAATACTAAGTAATGCAGGTTACTATTAATGCATTTGTTATTAAGCTCGCCTCCATATTACATAGTGGACTTTTCATAATTTAAGCCAAATAAGAGTCTGCATCATTTAACTTGGATACACTGTAGATTTCAATCACACTCTAATTGGGACTGCATACAGTTTATACATATAGTTTATACATACATATAGATTAGGGAATGTGGAGAGCTACTATATGGGAAGAGATTTCCCTTGCAGATGAAAGGAATAGTTTATAAGAGTTGTGTGAGATCAGCATTGCTGTATGGGAGCGAGACATGGTGTTTGAGTGAAAATGAGCTGGGTATTTTAAGGAGGACAGAGAGAGCGATGGTGAGAGTGATGTGTGGGGTGAAGTTGATGGACAGAAAGAAAACTAAGGACTTGATGCAGATGTTGGGTTTGAATGAAGCGGTAGATCGGTTGGCGAAGGCAAATGGGGTACGTTGATATGGGCATGTGCTGAGGAGGGAGGATGAGCATGTATTAAGAAGGGCCCTTGATTTAGAGGTGAGCGGTCCAAGGAAAAGGGGAAGGCCAAAGAAGACGTGGAAGATGCAAGTGGAGGAGGAGAGTGGGAAGGTTGGGATGAGGATGAGGGATGCTTTAAATCGTGCAAAGTGGAGGGAGGGGGTAAGAGCGATTGCCACTAGTTTAAGGTGAATCCGGCCACCCTCGTCTTCGGGGACCAAACCGGATTTAAAACTCTGGACTACTACTACTACTACTATACATGTATGTGCAAATTCAACGTTCTGTTATTGTTCTGTTTTCTGACTAGCCATTACTGTCATTGAGCACACTGCATTAAAGCTGACATCTAAAAACTGGCCATTATCAATATATAAACATCTGTGATCCCACTGTAAGCACAGGCATTTGACAACAATGGTATTTCAATTGTTACATCTTGACTTACCTTCTGGCCATACGGACTATCAGCAATGGTAAAACCAAATCCTAGAGCACCTTTCACAATATTAATAGTTAAATGCTCCGGTTTGTAAGAAGCTTCTCTTCCTGTAGTTTGCATTGAGTTGTCATCTTTATTGAATTTCATAGTATCAGCATATCTGTTATCTGAAGTGAGTTGAAGATGTTTGGCAGTATTCTCTGGTGACACTGTCTGGTGTGTGTTTACATCATCAGGATCAAATGGAAGTGGATATCCCCTACAAACTTCTAGTAAGACTTTATCACCTGGTGCTACAGCTTGGAATAGTTTGACAACTTGCTGGTGTGTGTATCCTAATACCAATGTATCATTTACATATACCAATACATCACCTGGAAACAACCAAATGTAATATAATGTAAAAAGTGTAATCTGTATTATTACAATTATATTTTAAACAGTTATGCTTGTTAATATGTCATAATAGAGGTAATTGAGAGGATTGCCTGAATGTCCATCTAAATGCTATAACACAGGAAATGCAGACCATTGCATCAGAGTACAGAAATTCACCTCAATGCTGTAACACAGGAAATGCAGACCATTGCATCAGAATACAGAAATTTACCTCAATGCTGTAACACAGGAAATGCAGACCATTGCATCAGAGTACAGAAATTCACCTCAATGCTGTAACACAGGAAATGCAGACCATTGCATCAGATACAGAAATTCACCTCAATGCTGTAACACAGGAAATGCAGACCATTGCAACAGAATACAGAAATTCACCTCAATGCTGTAACACAGGAAATGCAGACCATTGCATCAGAGTACAGAAATTCACCTCAATGCTGTAACACAGGAAATGCAGACCATTGCATCAGAATACAGAAATTCACCTCAATGCTGTAACACAGGAAATGCAGACCATTGCAACAGAGTACAGAAATTCACCTCAATGCTGTAACACAGGAAATGCAGACCATTGCATCAGAGTACAGAAATTCAAATCCTGTATTACAACACCAAGAACACATCTAGTTGTACCGTTCTTCTTCATATCAGAAAATGTAAGTTCATGTTTATAAATACTAAAAAATAATAAGTTTACTTAGTTTTAAAATGAAATCATATATTATGAAGTCACAGAGACAAAGTTTGAAGTTGAAAAAACATACCCTCGCACGATAAAATTTATTAAAATCCACAATAATTTTTGTCATCGTACTGAATTTTGAAAAAGAAAAAAAAAAAGATTACTAGATGGCTAGTTTAAATCAAGCTGTTGAACCAATTGATAAGTATCTGTATCAATGATGTGTAATGTCAAAAAAATCGGTACATGTCAGAGAAATGGTTAGGGTTTTGTCTCATGTCATTGAATCCAAAATTGCAGGTCTTGTCTATGTACCAAAATTATTGTGTATATTATTAGTACATACCTGGTTGTAGTTTTCCATCTTCAAAAGCTGGTCCGTTTGGTACAATACTTTTAACTTGTAAAAACTCCTGTGGTTCATCACCACCAACAATTGTAAATCCAAATCCACGGTTACTTTTTACTAATAAGGTCCTCAAAGGAGTTCCTTTCAATTCATTAGGATTTTGGGTAAAAACTGGTCTGCTAGAATTCATGCCTAGAGCAGATGAGACATAAACCATGAGAGCAATTTATAAAATTAATAAGAAATAAGACTTAAAAGCGAGATGAATTAGAAACATGTAATTTATTGAAACATCAGGTTCAATTACCCCATAAGATTCCTGGTTAAAAAAACAAACAAACTACATTTCCCTAAACGCTGCAATCTATACAGATTTTGTTCTATTATAGATGTGCATACAGAAATTAAAGATTTGTTTCTATGGCCAAAATAACTAATATATATATAAGGTGCTTCTATTGGAGAACAAATACAGTATTCCCATATTTCATTTTCTTCTGCACAACCTATGTGTTAATATTATAATATCATACCAGTGTTGTTACCAGCAATATTACTTTCACTGAAAGTTCTTGGAATGCCAGCTATGGGTTTTTTACGAGGTCTGGGCAATGTCTGAGACTGCACAATTGGTTCTTGTATTTCTTTTTCTATAGGTTTCTTATTTTCACTGTAACTTGGTAAGTCTGCTGAAAAAAAAGATCATATAAAAACAAAGATCCAAATTATAAGGCATACATGTATAATGTACATATTGCGACAGGTTACAATATACAGATATGTACATGTAATAAACACAGATTACTCAATCATTCATACATGAAAATTACAGATTACTCATTTTAGTCGTATTGGGAAGATTATGATACATCTTTTCCTCCCAAGTATACATCATGTGAATGACGAAATCCAAAAAAGTTTAGAACAGATTTAGCTGACTTCTTTGTATGTTGACCATGTATGTTTTTATTATTAGAGGATGCTCCCGCATGTAATTGATCCATATTTAGAATTCACATTTTCTAATATGGTAGGATGAAAATACCGCAAAATTACAGCAAGCTGTAACTTATGGCGTTACGGTGACAGATGTATAATAAGAGAAATTATTACCATTGCTATGTCAAAATCATTACATTTCAAATTATTTTTTTCTATTTTCAAACAGGGTGGGTGGTGGTTATGTGATGCATAATACAGTCATCTTGATTCTGCTGCACATATAGTAAGAACAAATTAGTGCTCCATGAAATACATGTGAATAATAATTAAAGTTGTAATACCTAGTGGTTTATTTTCATCCTTAGGAAAGTGGGTCATCATTTTAGCTTGCACAACAGGATTTTCATACTGAGTTCTTCTATTAATGTGGCTGTGGAATAAACACATAGTTTTAAGAACATAGCAAACACTACGAGTGTTAAAAAGTAATTTTTAGAAACAATTAGTAAATAGAATGAATACTGAGTAAATACTCACATTTAGGTGTAATTTTAGTCTAATTTATGTTTTTTATAGGCACTGACATCAACCCACATTCTAATTGGTTAATAAGTGACTTGACCTATCAGGTCAAAGATTATAACCAATTATAACCAATTATAACCAAAAATTATAACCAATGGCTATTACGTTAAAATCACAATGCAGGACAAAACCTAGACCAGGTCCCAATCATACAGCCTAGACCAGATCCCAATCATGTTATGGCCTAGACCAGATCCCAATCATGTTATGGCCTAGACCAGATCCCAAATATGTTATGGGCTAGACAACATCCCAATTTTGTGGCCTTGACATGGTCCCAATCATGTTATGGCCTAGACCAGATCCCAATTATGTAATGGACTAGATAACATCCCAATTTTGTGGCCTTGACATGGTACCAATTATGTTATGGCCTAGACCAGATCCCAAATATGTTATGGACTAGATAACATCCCAATTTTGTGGCCTTGACATGGTCCCAATCATGTTATGGCCTAGACCAGATCCCAATTATGTTATGGACTAGACAACATCCCAATTTTGTGGCTATGACATGGTCCCAATCATGTTATGGCCTAGACCAGATCCCAATTATGTTATGGGCTAGATAACATCCCAATTTTGTGGCCATGACATGGTCCCAATCATGTTATGGCCTAGACCAGATCCCAATTATGTTATGGACTAGACAACATCCCAATTTTGTGGCCTTGACATGGTCCCAATCATGTTATGGCCTAGACCAGATCCCAATCATGTCATGGCCTAGAACAGATCCCAATTATGTTATGGCCTAGACCAGATCCCAATTATGTTATGGCCTAGACCAGATCCCAAATATGTTATGGACTAGACAACATCCCAATTTTGTGGCCTTGACATGGTCCCAATCATGTTATGGCCTAGACCAGATCCCAATTATGTTATGGACTAGATAACATCCCAATTTTGTGGCCTTGACATGGTCCCAATCATGTTATGGCCTAGACCAGATCCCAATTATGTTATGGCCTAGATAACATCCCAATTTTGTGGCCTTGACATGGTCCCAATCATGTTATGACCTAGACCAGATCCCAAATATGTTATGGGCTAGACAACATCCCAATTATGTTATGGACTAGACAACATCCCAATGTTGTGGCTATGACATGGTCCCAATCATGTTATGGCCTAGACCAGATCCCAATTATGTTATGGCCTAGACCAGATCCCAATTATGTTATGGCCTAGACCAGATCCCAATTATGTTATGGCCTAGACCAGATCCCAATTATGTTATGGACTAGACAACATCCCAATTTTGTGGCCATGACATGATCCCAATCATGTTATGGCCTAGACCAGATCCCAATTATGTTATGGACTAGATAACATCCCAATTTTGTGGCCTTGACATGGTCCCAATCATGTTATGGCCTAGACCAGATCCCAAATATGTTATGGGCTAGACAACATCCCAATTATGTTATGGACTAGACAACATCCCAATTTTGTGGCTATGACATGGTCCCCCAATCATGTTATGGCCTAGACCAGATCCCAATTATGTTATGGACTAGACAACATCCCAATTTTGTGGCCTTGACATGGTCCCAATCATGTTATGGCCTAGACCAGATCCCAATTATGTTATGGACTAGATAACATCCCAATTTTGTGGCCTTGACATGGTCCCAATCATGTTATGGCCTAGACCAGATCCCAATCATGTCATGGCCTAGAACAGATCCCAATTATGTTATGGACTAGACAACATCCCAATTTTGTGGCCTTGACATGGTCCCAATCATGTTATGGCCTAGACCAGATCCCAAGTAGAACAAGCCACGCATGGCACAGTCCCAGTTAGTTATCAAATTTACGATACATAGTTTTGTTTATAGTAATATAACTGGAATATAACCATGTCAGGAATATGATTATGATGATTGTTTAATATTAAAACGATTGACATTTGTATCTGATCGTCAAATGAGTACTTGTCCACATTGAGAGATATTGCTTTGGAACAGCCTTAATTAAAACAAAATCAGCCATTTTGAATACATGTATATATCTATAACAAGATGTATAATGAATATATAAAATTTGAACATAATCAGTCAAAGCAAGTCAGAGATATGTCACTAGAACCACATTCATTAAAACGAAATGGCCACCAGTTGGCCATTTTGAATCTTATCTGGAAAACAAAATGATGTGCATTAAGGTCCCATAATGTCCAACGTATATACCAGTTTAGAACAAAATCCATCTGTAAACAGCTGAGAAATGCTTGATTTTGATGATTTTTAGAACAAAATTAAAATGGTCGCCATTCGGCCATCTTGATGTGCATAAGTATAATATCATGTATAATGTATGTGTGAAGTTTGATTGTGATTGGTCCAAGCATTTCTAAGATACAGGTCTGGCCGCACGGACGGACGTAAAGACTGAAGCACGGACGCACAGAGGTCAAAACACAAGTCCCCATTATCGGACTGCTTCCGAACGGGGAGTAATAAAGCCTCTATCAGTCTTTACTCAATCATGATACTCTCTATATATATATCAAACTGTAGACAAATGCACAGAACAATAACAAGATTAGTATTACTTACTCAATATAGTAAGATCCATAGTGAGGGTCATCAATCTTTTCCCAACCATATGGCAATTCTGAATGACAAAAATGATAACATAGTATAGAAATATATTTGATGTGATAAAAATTATAGAATGCTATAAAAAAAGATAACAGAATAGAGACAGAATAGAGAATACTAAAGAAGCACAACTTACCAAGCATTGGTGAATAGACAGCATCTAAGCAGCATTTTTGGGAAGATGTCAAAGATAAAGTTTATGCACCTAGTATGAAATTACTACCTAGTCTAATACTAATGTTAACATCTCTGTTAAAGAGATAGAGTAAAGTTAAAAGCTACATTATTTTCTTTGTTTAAACAAGAATGAGTTATATTAAAATACCAGATGACTATATGTATTAAATAAACCTGGAAACCCTTAAACACAAAGGGTCAACTTTCGTCACCTTTCCCAAAATATTGCCACATAATTGTTCTGTGACATGGTGTATCCATGCTGCATACACCGCGTCACTGGTGAAAATAACTTCCATACTCCACGAATGCCAGTGTGAGATACGAACGCCGATGGACAACGGCAGACACTCACTCATATTATAAGTTCTGTTTGACAAAGCCAACAGAAGAGCTAAACAAATCCTACAAAAGACTTTGACAAAGTTCTTTTATTTACTGTGAATGAATAAGCAGCCCAACCAGCAGTAAAGCAATATAAGTTCATTGTTTTGTTAACAAAGTAGCCATATTGATACAAGCTTACCATTATAAACTGTTAAATTATCAATATCTCTTTTTTTTTGACAAAACAGTGAGCTATATTGCAATATTGCTGGTTGGGTTGCTTTTTCGTTACAGTAACTTATCAGCGAAAACTGCAAAATTGCTACCAATAAATCTGTTTTTGGAATGATGGATCAGTGTCTGCTGCAACATAGAGAAAAGGTAATGAAAACATACTAACCATCATCAGCACAGTCCAATAGCGCTTCTTTCTGTACTCTTTCTAACCTTGGATCTAACCACTGTGTTGTTTCTGTAATATGACTAATAAGAATACACCAGGTAACATCAATATGTGTCATAGAGAAAAGACCACAGTCAAAAATAGATGTCAAGATTACATTAAAAGCGAGAGAGGAATGAGACACGTTTTTGCTCTTTAAACAGTTTTCTATTCTTTGTTGTTATTTCTTCCACTCTTTCCCTACCAATAACTTATGTAACCATGGTAATCAGAACAGTGTATGCAATGATGGAAGAATGAAACACCATTTGAGAAGCAAAGACAATTCTCTTAACTATCAATGAGATTCCAGTGACCATTTACAAAAAGCAAACATCAAATGGTCAACTAACATTGTGTGCATGCCAGCCATTATTTAAAAAAATAAAAAATTTATAGAATTCAACACAAAACTGTCAAAACTTTTGTAGACAAATTAAAATTCTTCATAAAGTTACTGTATAAAGTTATAAAGCCATACATACTTTATGAAATACATATCATTTTGTTCAGTAAATGCTATTTCCCATATATCATCTAATGGACCCAGTTCTTTTTCAAGTCTTTCAACTTCTTTTCTCCTCTTCTCCTCCAGACTATCTTCTTCATTGACGCCATCCTCATCATCATCAATGAAATGGAGATTTTGAGTTGCAAGGATGGAAGACTTGTTTCTTTCACGTTTACCTTTGGATGATGGATGAGCTCCAGGTTTGATAACATCCTGGACAGGATCAGCCACAAGGGATAAATCTACCGGTATTGGGGGATCCAGATGAGGT